AACTGAAGGTAGGTCAACAAATGAGGTTGCAACTGGTATTCAAACCAAACAAAAGGGCTAAATTGGTGATTAGAATTAGATTATACTTTGCCTTTGACTTTGAAACATTTCACCCAGTGCCCATGTACTGATTTATATCTTTCCAAATAATCTTGCATTCTGTACCCCATTAATGTAGTAGTTTTATAATCATTGTTTCAATAGATAGTATGTCATAGTGATATCTTGCGCAACCACCAGTTTTATAAACAATATTAATCATTTCAATTATCTGTATTTTGTATATGATTGACAAGGTATGTAAATGTTACTGCAAGACTGCCTTAATGTGGGAACATAAATCGGGTTTTACACTAAGCAAGTTCATTCGCACGAATCGAAAGCTTTGGTTTATGCATATTCACATCAGACTAAAAACAACTCCACTCCCTCAGCCTCATAAAGAGATAAAAGCATCACATTATTTCATGTATTTAAAAAGAGGGCCCCTGAATATCAGCCGACATTCTAGGATACGCTGGAAGGGTCACCCTGTATGTATATGGTTAAAAAACAAAAAAAAACTTTTTAATTTTTGAGAAGCGAAAATTTACGCAACCAATCAGAGCTCAGGAAGCGAATTGACGCTTTGATTCATGCAAATAAATTGACCTAGTGTAAAACCAGCTTAAGGGAAAAGGAAATGAGGAGGATCAAGGATGCCACAAAAGAAAATGGATATAACATATAGAACATAGGATGGTCATGAATGAGTGATTCCATCCCAGGCTCATTTTGTAATGAAAAGCTCCACATTGTCTGTAAATTTCGATAGTTATAATAAGAATACTAATCTTTTTGTAAAACATATCAATGTTGTTATTTCTTCTTTGTTATGAATGTCAGGCATACGTGCCGCTTGTGTGTGTGCCACACATGTGAACTATCCATTTTAAAGCCTTCGTCTAGCTAGCTGGCAGGCTGAGGTAGGCCTTGGTCTACCTAAGGTACCTAGCCTAATAATCGGGAGGTAGGAGATTACTGGAAAAATCGGGAAAATCCCACCAAAATTTAGCTATAATATAGGCTAAAAAAAGGAACATAATGGTAAGTTTCTGCATCATGTTAAAAAACGATTGGAAATCATAAAATTGTGAAATTAAAAGGACGTGGAATATCTAAAATTGTAAAATCGCAAAAAATATAGGGCGTGTAAAAAAAGGCTGTACAGTATTACAGCGCTAACTTCAGTGCATTTAGTGTTCTAAATACACAGGACACTGTGTGTGTACTCAACAAGATGGCTGCTGTAGTAGATTCAGCCAATCATAATACACCTAAGCCTCACTTTCAATGGCGCCCCCATTTAACATGAAAGTACATCTAAGTTACACGTATGTTGAAGCGATGTACCAAACAAGATTTTGATTTTCATTCCTCAATACCTTATTTTTAAATTAGATGCTCCACTTGGCCTCTTTTTGGCTAGGCTATTTTAAGAGTTTATTATTACTGTAATAATGATTAATGAAATGATAATTAGAGGTCTTATTCATGGTTGTAATATCTATATTAAGCCTGATGGTGGTGCTTTTCTGCAGCAGCCATCTTGTGAGTACACATACACAACTCTGCATTGCTTCCTCGCCTAGTTAGCGCTCAAGTTGTTTTAATAGCTCTTTGGTAAAGTCTGATACATAGTAATCTAATAGTGTAAAAGTGACTTATGTGATTTATCCATATATGGGCATGATGATGTCATATTTCACCCATATATGGCCATAATGATGTCATATACTCATATATGGGCAAATCCCATGTATTTGGGACATAAAATATCATAGTGTGGGGTTTGTTTTTATCTTGAGGAAGAAGTCTGCTTCATAATTTTAAACCCAGATCATCTTCTATTTTTTAGGCATTAATTTTGGACACAATTCATGGAATAGAAGTCGTTCAACTTCTAATGAAAAACAATATCACAAGCACAGAAGAATGGCTGTGGCAAAAACAATTACGCTACTACATCAGAGACGACAGCATTGCAATAATGCGCATGGTGGACGCAGAATTTGAGTACACGTATGAATATCAAGGTAAGCCTCCTCTTTTTCACATTAGGTACAAAATGTTTTTTGACATTATTTAAGTCAGTAAAAAATAATAAGTGAAAATGATATATAGCTATACCTGGTGATTTTTTTTTTCATATATTAATGAATAATTTATATTTGAAAACTCACTTTTAACATCTTCAGTCCAGTTCAATTTTTATTATACTGTAACTAATAATGCTGTCAAAGTTGCATCTTTGAAATACATTTTTTACACAACAGGTGTTGTACTCTAGCAAATTTGGCCAATTCTCTGCCATCTTGAGTATACATTCCATTATTGAATCAACCTCTACAAAGGAATGCAGGACTGTAAAAAGTTGGTCCTGGGTCCGGGACTTGCATATTTAAATGTTGGGCTAGCAAAAAATATGTTAATACTAGACCAGTATTCAATAGATGGTATATAAGGGCTAACAATTTTTTTTAGCAAAACTAGACCTTGGTATAGCCAAAAAAAAAATTAACTTTGTACAGCTCTGGGAATGAAGCTGCGGATAGTTTATTGTTTTTACCTGTGGTGTTATTCATGTTGCCTTCATTGTCACTGTTGTTGACTCATTGATCCCAACAAGGCTAGAAAAAAAATGAATTTCTGTCTACTGGAGTAGAAGATTAATGGAATGTGTTGAGAATGATGTTGCTTCCATTATTTTTTTTTATTCATTTGGGAGGTGTTTATTCCAAATGAGGCTCTGGAGGGGGTGTTTATTCAAATAAATAAAGTATATTGTATGGTATATAAATTTTATGTTTATTTTAATACTTATTATTGGTGGGTGGCTATTTGTGAAACCTGTTATGACGAAAGTCTTGAATATGTTTGTAATTTACCTGTGTAATAGCCACCAAAAATCTGAGGGGTGATTTTGTGGTGATCTTGTTATGTATTTGTCAGCAAATCTCCACTAAGAGATTATGAAAGAACAGTACAGTTTATGAGTAATTTACTTTGTGATTTTGACTTCGATACCTGTCACCAAGTCCATTGGCCATTTCAAATCAGTCTATACACTGTCTAGACCATCTTTCATGCTGACCTCCATTGACCTTAACAATCATTGTTTGAAGTTGATATCTTGTGCAATCAGAACATAAATGTTTACAGATAAATCATTACAATTATCTATGTTTTAAATACCTGACAAAATGATTATTTTTAGGTTCTACATACAGGTTCTTCCAGGTCTTCATTTTACAAGCTCCTTTGAGTTTCATGTCCTTTTTATCTTTTATCCACTTTTTAAATTATTTATAATTACAATATTAAATACAATTTATTTGTAAACTGAAATTGATTTGATGAACAAAGAATTAAATTGAATTGGAAAATTTAATTATTTGCCATTTAACCGCTTGGTACTGTAGCTTAATTTTCGAATTAGCAAATTAGCAGTAACACTTTTGTCAAATTATTTATTTCTACTTTTAACAACATATCAAATTGTTTTCTTCTTTATAATGGGTCTCTTCATTAGATATCTACCGTTAATGGGACTTAGGGAGAGAAGTTGTTTTAGTTGTTAGAAAAAATCCTGCTGTCATAGGAATTGAACCCAGAACCCTGGCATTAAAAGACATGCATCTTAACCACCAAGATATTCAACTCCATTCCAAATGTTCTCAAAAAGGCCCTTTTGGAAACAAGCAGAGATGACTAAAGGGTTATACTGAAATTCATCATATGTTTGTGATTTTGTACTTGTTATGTTTCAGAATTTCAGTTCAATTCAAAACAATTTTTAGACATTTTATTTTTGCTTTTCTATAGCCTTGTCTTCTTCTAAAATAAGGAGATATGGCAACAGAAGCAAACGTAAAATGTTTAAGAATGTAAGTTTTTCCCCGGGGGCTACAAGAGGTATTTGCTCTTCCAACTCCTCTCCCATCTCTGCAGCAGCCAAAAATATCACTAATCAAGTGTGAGATCATTTGTATAAAAATGGCTGGATCCGCCTCAGCTTTAGTATCGCTTGATGGGGGATGCTAAGCTAATAACTTAATGAAAGACCCAACAGGGAGATATGGCTTTGAAGTACCCTTGGCAGGTAACAAATGCCTATTGATTTCTTCTGCACTATGCCACTGGTACAGAATATAAATTTAATAATGACATCAAACTTGGTTTACTTCATATTTATTCTTCACACACACTACAAATCTGTTTCATATGGCCAGCAAAACTGGCCACATTTTACAAAATATAAATGACAATGTAGGCCTACAAGGACATTTAATTAATTAGTAATCAGGAAATGGATATAGTGTAAATAACAGTGCTCAAATAGGAACATGATGTTATAATTGTATCAAGCATCTCTTCAATAAATTCCTTATTTCATTTGTATGAAAAAAGAGTCTTTGGCTGGATTTGAACCTACAACCTTTCTCTGTCGACCAGTATCATACCATTGAACCACAGAGACCATTTTAAAATTTTTTATTGGCTTTAGGCACTAAGGCCACCTTGCTTTTATTGGAAGTTAGATTCCAATTGGAAGTATGGTAATAGATACAATGGGATTAATTGAAAGATAATTGCTTACATCAACATTCAATATCTTATGTTTACTTACTTAAATGGTACTCTCAAACTGACTGTCGTGCAGTCTTACAACAATATTAGAGAATTCAAACACAAACACAAACACAAAAGTGAAAATAACTAACTCAATACTATATAACACTTAAACTGGAAAAGCATATTCCAATATGAAATTCGATTTTTTTATTTCATTTTTGTCATTATTCCAAATTTGGCACCATAAAATTGATTTTTTTTTTCTTCAAGTAATAATATGGTTTAGATTTTAGTAATTAATATTCATACAGTATAGTGTTTTTTTTTTTTTTTTTTTTTTTTGTGTATAAGAGACAGCCTTTGAGTTTCTCTGATGCTTTGATAGTACTCACTGAATCTGAATACAATAAATTTGCAGACTTATCAGAAACATGATTACAAAGGTCGCTTTCTGTACAAGATATACAGCAACTAAGGAATTAGTATAGTATGTAATCAGAATTACACAAATTGAATTTAGAATACCTTTATCCACCTGTATTTATTCATTGATAAATTGATTAAACAGTTTGCTCTCATGTTCCATGTACCGAGACAAAAAAAACTTCAAAGATCAACACAGATATCCTCTTAAGATAGACATCTTGTAGATTAGAGTAGAAAGTAGAACATTGTAAATATTAAGCACATAGAGTTAACATTATTGTATTACCATATGTTATATATAAAGACTTTGATTTTATTATTATTATTATTATTTTATTATTGCTTAGCTATACCAAACTTTACATGAATTAATGCAATTTATTGAGTGAATGAATTGTCTTCTTCAGTATGTTGCTATGCTATGCAAATCATCAAGTGTAGTTATGATACCTTCAAAATGGACTTAAGCTTGTCCTTTAAAACTATGAGTATATTGAATATAATTATAATTATGGTGGTCCTAATCCCTTAATTGAGGTGTTTCCCTAATTTAGGTACTAGTTTTGCACCTGCAAATTTTTTGTTTCATCAACTTACATTCAACAGAAAAACAATATATTTTTAAAAACAACGTTTTATACATTAAAGTTGTGAACCACCAAATTTTATTCAACTAATTTACCAACATTTGATTTCACAATCTCCAACAAATTTTACAACCTCGCCATTGTTTAAAAACAACCTTTCAACATTTTGTACATTACACTCAACATATTATACATTACAAGGTTATCAACACTGGTACACCAAATTGATGCAAACTTACCTCCAATTTAACTCTAATTGGTACACCAAATTTTACAAATACAAAACACAACCAAGCTAGCAACATTTTATTAGTATCAAGTTACTTACGTTAACAAAGATACCAGCTTTTTGGCACACAACTTGCTGCCAATAATTCATACTGTACCATGGAGAAAGCTGCTGTCTTTTAGCCATGGCCATCCAAGTTAACTACTTGCATACACAAAAACATAACCAAAGCTACCGTCATTTTATAAAACCAAACCAACATTTTACAACAAAGATACCAACATTTGGTATACCAACTTTTTGCAAACATTTCATAACCAAGTAGCTATCAAAATTTTATACAACCAAGTTGCCAATATTTTCTATGACAATTAATAATTGTATATTTGTATTGTTGTATTTCCTTTGTTTGCTACTATAACTCTCCGGGGATAATTTGCAATAGACAATACCCATGGAATGTTAATTCCATCATCTTCTTTATCAATTCTTTTGATGAAAATTCCATCAATACTGAATAGCTCCAATTTGTGTTCACTGGCTATAATGATGTTGTCATCCGCATCCACTTTAACTCCACGTGGCTTCCACATCCTATCTGCTTTGACAATGTTTTTAAGAAACTTAAACTCATTATCAAGTGCTTGTATTATACATTGCTCTTTTGTATTGTTGTAATATGTGAAATTACTATTCTGATCATATAATACAATCACATTTCCTCCTTTGGTAAGAGTAATATCAGGGACATTACGTTCTTGCTGTATACGCCGGATAACTTGGCCATTATCAATGTTGAACACAAAGATACAATTCCAATCTGCTACATACACATTAGACTCATCTACATGGAGACCCTTGGGATTTGTCAGTTTTCCCTGACCAATTGATTTAACCACCTGATCATTCATATCAATTAATGCGATACATTTATTACCACAATCACTAAATGCTAAGCCCCCATTTTTTATTTTGTACATTCTGTTAACTTTTACACCTTCTGATAAAGTAACCTTTTCAATATATTCTCCTGATTGCTTGTACCTGAAAATGTCTTTTGTCTGACAAGAAACAAGCATGCGATTGTCATCATAGAAAACTACATCTGAAACAGTGACTTCTTCTATTTTAATAGTATGTATCAGTCCTTCCTTAATTACTTTTATCCTCATTGGTGACTGTCTAATTGGTTTACTGTCAACACTCACATCAAGTGTGCAAACACCTGGGCTTGTGCATTTTCCTGTAACAACATGACCTCCATTGCCATCTTCTTCAACTTGAGTGATAGTGGTTTCTCCTGTTGGCTGTGTCCATGTTGCCCTCATGTAGTTAGCATCTATTTCATATTCATCAGTTTTGCATACTTTGACAACAATTGGCTGACCTTGGGTCACATCTTCTCCTCCTTTTAATGCTAGATGATCTGCCATTGTTTCTGTTACATTTCCAATATTGCATTGCCACTGCAGTGAAGAAATGTCTTTGAAGAAGTAAATTTTTCCATCATCATTTGGCTTTGTGTAGGTTGATCTATCAAGTTTTTCTATCAGTCCTTCATATACTCTATTACTCAAATGCATAGCTTTAGTTTTATCACCCTTTAAAAGCATATTAAGACGTGCCAGTGGTTTTTTTACATCAGATATTTTTGTTGTCAATTCAGAAATTTGCATATTGAGTACCCTTTTTTTATTTTTGTAGATTGTTTGTACTTTATTTTTCATGTCATCCTTATTTTCATTGATTTTATTGATTAGTTCTTGTACAATATCATCAATATCTTTTAAACAGGTTTCTTTACTTTCTTCTAATTTGGTATCAGTCTGACGAACTCCATTAACACCTCTTTGTAAGTTATCTATAAAATCTTTGGCATTTTCTTTCAATTCTGTAGCGCTTATTTTAAACTCTTCAAAAGCCTCTGAAATTGGGATAGGGTTTTGGTTAGCATTTATGCACTCTTCGCATATTGGATGTTTTCTTTGTTCACAGAAAAATTTCAAAGTTTTATTATGAGTAGAACACATCAGAGGCTGTAACACTGACAGATCGTCATTTGGAGCTTTTGATTGCATATCACCTAATGTTTGTAGCTTGTGATTTTCCATCAGTGGATATTTGGTATGATGGTCACTACAATTGGTGCACAGGTATCTTCTGCATTCATGGCAGTAGTATCTTGCTTCATTTTCACAAACACATTTAATCTGATCTCTTTGTTGTTCTGTGTTTCCTAGCAAGTCATCCACAAATGAGTTTGCCTTATCCATCTTGAAAAAAAAAAAAAACAGTGAATATGATTTATGAATAATACTAGTGAACAAACTAAAATTTGTACACATTTGCTTCTGTACCAGGGCATATGAAAAAGAAATGATGGAGTGGAGTTGCTTGCTTTCCAATCCCAGGGTCAATTCCTGTCACAGGATTTTTTCTCACGACCAAAACAACTCCACTCCCTAAACCTCATTATGAGACTTAGTCTATGTAAAGCATCTTGTGTGTACATTTGTCTTGTGACAGGATTGCCACTTTGAAGAGTGATTTAATAGCTTACTGTTTGGCATACAGTATCGTTGGCCCTAGTGCCTAAAGCTAAATATAATTAAATTACAGAATATAAATTGTGGGTGCAAATTATTTATATTTTACCATGGGTTTTCCATGTTTATTAAACATAGGATAGTAAAGATATAAAAAAAAAGTGTGTTATTAAAAAATATAGGAACGTTTAAGTTGAGAGACTGAGCAAAAAGGCAGGGACACCACTGACTACAGCCTTAACATCGGCGCTGGTTCTAGCTGCTCCTCGCACATTGTTCGGTTGGTAGAACCAACCCATAGCATCATTCGGAAGCGTAGGGGTTACCCCGATGTTATGGTTCATTTTAGCTCCTGTTGTGGAATGATGTGAACTTGTAGCTACTATAAGTGCCTCTTTACGGCCGCTAGGTAGTCATGGACCACACCCATATGCAATTGAGCACAATGAAGCTGCAAATTATTGGTTAACCTCTCTGTGACGTTTACTTGGAATAAATTATTTCAATTTTAGTTGCTTCTCTTTACTTAACTTACACCATTACAGTACATACAATGGACCTATTAATACCATAAAATCTTAATAATCAAAATAGTTACCTTAATTTCTCTGTCTACTGGTACTTTGAGCTAAAGTCTATTGGTACTGAAATGTCCCCAGTCACAGCAAAAATGGAATTTACAGTGTGTGTGTCACTTATCTTATGTGTGTGTTCAACTGAAAAATTTACATTATGTAGAGGGCAGCAAATACCTAAAATTTAGAGAGCATTGTTGATCACTGTTGATTATACTTCAACAATACAGTAGAACCTCGTTTTTATGTACCCCAGTTATACGAACCCTTGGTTTTACGTACGCCTCGTATCGACGATGATGTCATCAAAAAACCCAAAAATATTCAAAACAAACGGCCCTTTTCAGAGCAACCATAAGTAAAAAGGCTATAACAATTAACTATAACAATAAACAAACCATAATGCAACGTATTTTCATTAAACAGCAACGTTGATTGAGTCTAATATCGGGTTGTAATCTAAAACCACGTGAACTGAGTGAGATGAACAACTACCGATGGTGCTCAAAATAATTGCTTTCCTCCTTAGCTTCGTGTGGCAAACCATGGAAAATCTCGTCTGGTCAATTTTTTTACACAAAGCTGGATAGACATAGTTTCGTACGCGAACGCAAATTGGTTGGCTCGCCCAGTGCATTGCCCATGGTTGCTGTCTCACGTACACGAACGCTAATTGTTTGGCTCGCCCAGTGAAGCGCACATGGTTTTAGTTTGTCTCAACAGGCCCAGACAACACCACAGCTCTGTTGTTTAGAATAGGCATGAAGGGGAATTCCCAAGTTCCCAAGTAATCTTACAATATTTTCATGTTTTTTTGTTAAATAAAAGATATAAAGTGATGAATTAATACACTAGACACATGGTTTTATTTGAACACTTTATTATGACATCTTAAAGTGATGAATAAAAACACTAAACAAATGGTTTTATTCGTAGGCCTAGAGGCTAGGTCTAACCTAGGTAACATCATTCGTTCATACATACGTTTAATGAGCGTTATGTACATATTAGGTCAAAGGTTACCACAAATTTAACCCAACCTCTATTTTACGAATCCCCCGATTTACGTAGGGGATTGTCTCCCTGTGTACTGCCCAATCACCACCAGAAGGACCCCACTGGAAATAAGTCTTCTTCTAGACTTTTGTGGGTTATCCTTGGTGTTTTCACCGAATAAATCCAATCCAATCCAATCCTTGACTAGAATACACAATAAAATATTAATGTATATCCAAATAGTTGGTTTTGTGAATTAGATTAGCTTTGTTGTGTACCCTCTGCTCAGGTCAGCTTGACTAACTATTCTACAAGAGCACACATTATATCTAGCCTATGACAGGTGTTCCTGTTAGTATTTAAGTCTGCCAACACAAGAGGGTACAATATTACATTGTCATTTTTTATTTAGTATCTTTATGGAATGTTTATAGTTCTCTATATAATGCTTGCTTCCAAACTTTCTCAAACATAGAAGCAACGTAAAATTACCTTTTAGATAGAGAACTATGACCTACTGTACATGTGGCAAAGACAAGCCAAACCAGTCACTCGTCGCAAATCCTGTTTTGGCGATAATGGCCAAAACATGCTGGAATTTCAAAATTTTGGAAATCTATTTTATTGCACTAAACTAACCTTTATATATCTATATATCATGCTATGCTGTTATTTTCCTCATTTTCAATGTTAAAACAACAATTTTTAACGATTTGGTGATGGTTTCTGCCTAAGAAATGCCCGAAATCGTAAACTTTGAAGGCTGATTTCTCAAATATTGTTCTTTAAACAGCTGTATGTTTAAACTCGTGGAACTTCATAACGAAGTGTCGGATTTAAATGATTCTTTTACCATTTTGTAGCTCTCATTTTACTGTTAAACCCTGTATTAATAACTAAAAATTGATTTTTCCGATGAGTGACTGGTTTGGCTTGTCTTTGCCACATATAATAAACACGGTGTCCTTTGTGTTTTTCTGAGCAATGGTCTTGGTGCAAATTTTTATTAACAATGTAAAATGAAATGAAGTTCAAACACTATTGACGAAACAAAGTCAACAGAACAAGCCACAAACAAAACTAGGCCTATATTCTGTAACCTATATTATAGTTTGCTTATTTTCGAAAACATCTCCAAGCCATTTTTCCTTAAGTTGATAGTGCTTATGACCAATTTTTGTCTTTACTTAAATATTGAAAATGTATTCATCAAATGTTTATAACGTTGAATATTTAGTTTTAATGTTTGGTAATAGTATATTTCTAGGGTTAGATTAAATATTACTTTCTTGGATCCTTTTGTATTTACATTTAATGTTAAGCTATATAAGTTAACCATTGTTATATATATTATCAATTTGTTTTACATATTTTTTTATTTTGCTTTTTCACTGGCAAATTTTAATTACTCTGTCTCCATTAATCCGTACAAACCTTGTTTCAATAAATAGTAATATTTTTTGCAATCAGTACACCAGTGCTTTACAGTACTATAAATCATTACAATTGAATTATGCTTGATTTGTTATTGATGAAACTAAAATTATATTTTATATAACTGGCAACTTCAAGTTTATTGTTAAGTCATTCATCGGCTTTCAAATGAACATATACAGTAGTATTAACAGTACAGTAACTCCCAGAACAGAGTTTGTAAGTAAGAAAATTTGTAATCCAGAGAATTTTCAAAGCATCTTAGTGTGGTGTAGTATAGCTCTGAGTCTTAAGAGAAGAGGTACAGGCCTTTTTTGTGTATTCCACCTATTTTCTCTATGTAACCAATGTATCACCACATTCCATTTCTGTTAATCGATAGCTTTGCAAATTCTCGCCAGGCATTCGGGAACGTTATGAATTTTGTAGTCCTTTCTCATGTGGAGAATGAAATTTGGTTCAGTTGATAAGGCCTAAAAAAAAAATTTGTTTGCTGTCGCATTGTAAAATTTTTTTTTGTAAAATCATAGAAACATCGTGAAAACTGTGTGATTGTCATTTTTTTTACGGAAAAAAGATCATATTTTTGTTTTAAAAAAAATTTAAAATAGTAAAAATTTCCTTACAACACGGATCTGTGCCAAAATCGATGAAAAAGTGGTTTTCATTTGATCTTTTAAACTTTAAAAAAAAACTTTTTAGGAAAAAAAGAAAAACCTGCCCTTAATTTTCGGGACTTGAGGGCGGCGGATGACGGCAAACAAACAAGTTTTTTTTTTAGGCCTAATGTCTGTTCAAGAATGGGGTTTAGCGGTTGATGAACCCCTGGTTGTAAACAAATACATACTAATTTCTCCTGTGCTAGTACTGTACGCCTGATAACACAATTGAAAAATACGGAATCAAACTTTGTTTACTTGATGTTTTTTCTTCACAGTACACAATTAATAATAGTTGTCTCTTATACACATCT